TTTTATCGCCCGGCCAGGAGCTGTCAGGCAGGAGAAACGTGATTCACACGCTGTCACAAATCTTTCACTCCTCCCTGTACATCCTCGCGCGACCGCTGTTCGCCCTCTCTCCTTCCTGTGCCCTGCCAGGTCGGCAGGACATGGCACAGCACGCCTGGCACCTGGGAGCCTCCAGCGTTGGCAACACAGAGCCCACCTACCAGTCCCTTGTGGCAGACAAACCCACTCACAGGGCAGCAACAGGATAAATGTACCCCCAAAGTGTTGAGTGGGGCTGTACGCAGGCACAGGCATGTGGAGTGAGGCAGCAAGAACAGGCTGTGGGGTCGGTTTCTGTTCCCCAGCCACCGTCCCTGCGCCAGTGCTTCTGGATGGAGGTGTCTGGACAGCGTGTTCCACCTACCAGGGAGCCCATCAGAGTCAGTGACCCAGAGATAGAAGGCCATACAGGAATGCACTGGTTTTTAGACACTAGAATTTGGGGATTAAGTTCATCCCAGTCCAGGTTCTCTTGAAGTTCTTAAACTTGCTAGTGGAGATGCTAGTGGAGAATGAGGCACAGAGTCACTTGTTTTGTGCATCTGAAGATGTGTACATTAAATTTGTGTGTATGGGGTTCTTTGCCAAATTAACAATAATTTCATTGTTGATTTACTTATCTGAAAGAGCCCTGAATACTATGTGAAGGGGCAAATGGTGATAGGCTCTCCCAGTCATGCTCAAAGGAAAGATGTGAAGGCTTAAATTCTGCTGGAGGCTCCTGGGATGAGTATGAGGAGCAGGTGCAGTCCAAAAGTGACACAGCAATCCCACCCCCTCTTCCTAGTCTTTGGAGTCTGTACATTGCTTCATTTCAGTCCTCTAGCTCTTCCTTGGATTGCTGTTGTCCTTTCTTGGGCCATGTAGAGTGATTAACAATTTTCTTCTAAAATTTTTTTAAAAGATTTAATAGTTTAACCTGGGCAGTAATGAACACCTCATTTCTTTTAACTGGGGTGGGGAGAGATGACTCCACAGGCTGTTTTGTTACTGGGATTGTTTTATTACTGGGATATCTGCAAGCTCATGAACCAATTCTCTCTTTAATAGTAAAATATTCGCAGGAAGAGGGAAGAGGAGAACAGAGAACATCATTATAACTTTATACTCATAGTTAGGCTGCCAGATATTTCCCTGCATGTTGACCAGTTGGACTGCCTCACAGTTAGTGAGCTGACTTTTTTCCTCTTGGAGCTGGGTGTGAACTCACTATTCTCCTGTGCCCAGCTTCACATGCCCTGTGGGGCAGAGATGAACATGTAGCATATTGCAAATGACCAGATTCAAGTACTATGAGGATGCAGTTTTTCAGCTCAGCCTTCTGGTACAGCCTCTTTCCTTGGTTATGTGCATTACAGCCTGGCAATCTCAGTGGTTCTAGGTCTATCAGATATGTAAAGCTTGGGGCACTTGCTTTGGCCATGCTGTAGGAAGTTACAGAAGTGCTTAACTAACCACGACGTGCAGATCTTAAAACTGTGGGGTTTTGCATTCCTCTTCAAAGTACCTGCCTCCCATTGTGTTTAGTCTACAAAAGAGTAGGGAGCAAGTTGGTAATTTCTGCTAGTCTGCAATTCCTTCTGCCTTGCTCAGGAGCGTTCTGAAAGGACTATGGGATCTAGCCCAATCAATAAGCACCAACTATTAAACACTAGCCTGAATGGTAGTCCTTACTCCAGGACAACCCTGCCTGTTATTGTGGCACTGCCTTATAAGATAACCTCTACCTAGGAAAAAATGACATTTTCGTGCTGAAAATCCTGTTTCTCCAGTAAAAATGTTCAGAATATAAACTGAAGGGATATGCTAGGTGTCCTAGATGCAAAGGGATAATAAAGACACAGACCAGCTTTAAAATGTAAGAAGCATAGTCTGAAGCTATGTAAGAATGTAAGAAGCTATCATCTGAATTGTTTTCTGACATTCTTTTTTTCTTTCTGTATCTCAGGTATTTGGCAGAAAAAAAATTAAACCAACATTTCCTGTCTCGTGACTGTTTATAAAATATGACATTATGCACTGGCTTTTGTTTATTTGCGGAAATTATTTCCTATAGTATCAGTTTGTTTTTCTTTTTCAGCAATGCTCTGTGCAAATAGGCTTTCTGGTTTTGCAAGTGCCAGCTCAATAGCAGCCTCGTTCTGAACTCAGTCCTTCTTCTGCTGAAATTTAAGGCAAAGCCCTCTTGGACTTCAGTGGCAACAAGCCTGTTGCATGAATTCCTCATTGCATTGACGTCAATGGCAAGATTTTCAGTGACTTAGATCAAGCCAGCTTTACATCACTGCCTTTGGATGCCACTTTAAATAGACAAGAGATATCAGAACAGTTGGGGCTGACCTACTTTCTACCCCTTGTTTAGGTGATTTGTAGAGGGCAGCAGTAGCAGAGCTGCTAAGAAATCACTACAGATAGTGCAGTAAGGGCCCATTTCTCTGTTGGAGAGTGTTAGAGAGTAGTCAGTGCCTTGTGTCATGTAGAAATCTGCATGGACAGAGCATATTTAGGATAGTTAGTTAGGATAACTACTGCGGTCTTAAGCAAATCTTTCAACAGGAATTTATGTCCAGGAATAGGCTGAGCAAAGTGAAATATATCATAATATCAATTAATAATTAGTTTGGCCACTTAAATGTGCAAATTGTAAAAGAGCAGTGACAAACTCCCTATACAGCGAGAATCTCCTCAATGTGCCTTCCATCCTGTTGGTTTCAGACTGTCAGCTCTTGAATAACATTACTTTTTTTTGCCTTCTCAAACATGTGGAAAGCTAATTCCTAGTCTTTCTTGTCTCCAGTGGGAGATTTCATTTAAAAAAACTAAGAGGGCCTTAAAAAAATGAAGCTATCTTCAAGGAAAGCTACACTTATGAACTGGGAAACTTTCCATCTCTTTAATAAAAAAACCACGTCCAAATTCTGGAGGACAGCTGTTAGCGGGATGTGGTTTGTACTCTGTTCAGGTCTCACAGGATTGAATAGACAATATGACCACGTTCTCCTGGGCCTGGTGCCACCTCTCTGTGCCAGTACAGCTTTTCAAAGCAATGTATTTTATTCTTCAACTTGGAAAAGTTTCATTCACATGCATTCATTTGCCACTGGCTTTTCTTGATGTGAATTACAACATGATTCAGCAGATAAGCTGTTAAGGTACACTGTTTTTTAAGGGACATCTGAGCACTGAGCAGCTTGTAACGATGAAATAATTTCAGTGATGTGTTGGGGAAGCAGCAACTCACTGCAGAAAGAAGCTCTGGGATTGCTTCACCATCCCCAAAGGAAATGTTCTTCAGTCACCGAACGTAGCTTGTTGACAAATGTGTAACATCTGCAGTACTTATGAGGCTGAAGCCTATTTGCTCAGTCATTTTCCTGTGGTGTAATTAACCATTTCATCTGACGTTCACAAGAACATTTATGATGGTCTAAAATGTCTTAATCCTCTGACATATCAAAGTCCTCAAAAGCTGGCCTGAACTTTAGCCCAGGCTAGAGTTTTGGGAAAGTCTTGGGCAAATACCTGCCTTATGAACTGAATGAGAAGAAACAGGAGATGTATTGAGACTCAAAAAAATGGCTCCTCTGCCCAGGAATATTGCTCAGGTACTTCTCTTTAAGCTGTATCAGGACAGCCCTCCAAATCTGGCCCCATCAGGATATACTCAAAGCAATATTACCAGTAACATGTTTTAGAAAAAAGGAGGTGATGAAAAGTCATTAGATGAGCATCATTCACCCTGTCTTTGTCCCTGTGAAGCAAAAACACCTTGTGCTGTTTGCATTGGTGCTCAGAATAAACCATTCCTTTTTTACTGGAACTAATAAAACAATCTTTAAAATAGTGTTTCATGAAAACTGTGGCTAGGAGGCAGCTGAAATTATTAATATGTAATCCACACTGTCCCTCTTAGATAGACACTCTCAACAGAGTTAAGAGGAAAATAAATGCATAATTTGGGATCATCCTGAAGGAGTGAACTCTTCAAAGGATTATACCTGCCTCACTCTGAGCAATTAGCTGAATTTTTCAACTGGGGTTAGCCCAACCTCCTGGCCAGACTTTTCCGGATATGAGGAGATCCCCCTCCCTTTTCTGATTGACACAACCAGTTGGTAATACTTGGTCATTAGTTGCTGGTGAAAGATAGGAGAGGCTGACTGGTCCATTGCCTGTTAGCCTGATGAAAGGGTGTAGGTATGTTTCTCTCTTGCACTGGTGGCTCCTGGAAATAGGGAAAAGAAAGGGAGGCAGATCAGATACTTTACTCATACCAGTGAGTATGAATCAGGGAAGCCCAAGGAGGAGTAACTTTAAAAGCATTTATCTGTGATGAGGTTAGTGTGTCAAGAGTTCTATCTGATGACACAGAACAAAAATACGTGTTGTGACATAAGGAAAATGTGCAATCAGCACAGCTCACCCTGTTGCTCCGCACGGATGATAGGAAAGTTTTTCTTTTAGGATATTG